TCTCAATTCGTCCAAATACTCATTCCCTTTCATCCCAACTCTTCCAAGTACTAATTCCCTTTCATCTCAGTTCTTCCAAATACTAATTCCCTTTCATCTCAATTCTTCCAAATATTAATTCCCTTTCATCCCAAATCTTCCAAATACTAATTCCTTTGCATCTCAATTCTTCCAAAAACTGATTCCCTTTCAGCCCAATTCTTCCAAATACTAATTCCCTTGCAATCAAATTTTTCCAAATCAAATTCCCTTTCATCATCAGGTCATCATCTTTATTAAGGGGATGTGGTCTGCGCCCAAACCTTGTTGACCTTGAAGGGGGGGGGGGGGGGGGGGGGGTTGATTAATCCTATGATCGCATTAAGCTTCGCGTTGCTTTTCTCCGGTCTAGTCCCTCCGGCCTTTTGGCGCTCCTCGCTGTGCGACGACTGCATCTCCTCGGAGTGGGCCAGGAGCGGTTTTGTTCCGCTCCGTTCGTAGCGATGCCAGGAGCCCCGTTCGTAGCGTCCTTTCTTTGTGTCTCTTATTATTGAACACTGTTGGTGCCATGTCGTTCTTTTTTGGTTCTGTTTTCGTTGGTGCCGGTGCCATGTTGTTTGTCAAAAGGAAGGCTCACTTGAGGCCAGAGGGGGTGAACGAAAGCTAGCCGGGCTTCCGGTGGTCTGCTGCTGGTGCTGCTGCTGCTGGTGCTGCTGCTGCTCTGCAGGCGCCGGGTCGTCTGCTGCTGCTGCTGCTGCCGCTGCTGCTGCCGCCGCTGGGTGGTCTGCTGCTGCTGCTGGCGCTGCTGCTGCTGCTGCCGCTGCTGCGCTGGGCGCTGCAGATGCTTGGTGTGCTGCAGCTGCTTGGTGGTCCCGCTCACCGCGCGCAGGGGGGAGTCGAACCGCGGGGGGGGGGGGGTCCATAAGATTGATTTAATCAATTATTTGAGGCTTCTGAGGTGCGTCCACCCCGTCACTTAACTTGCTAAAGCAAGAGCAACTCCAGCTAGCTAAGGCTAGCTTTCGTGATTATTTTTGTGGACTCTAGCTCTATATATATATATAGACGTTGTTTTGGAGCCAAGACCTTGGAAGTCTGGGAGGATGACAGAGAAAACATCTCCTGTATGCTCTAACATGGCCCAGTAACATGGCCCAGTGACCGTGGAAACGCTCAAACCGACAAATGACCGACATCTTGTGAAAGACAGAGATGTGATCCAAAACGGCAGTCCTTCCTCTCGACACAGAGACGTGTCGTGTGTAGGTATTGGTCTCATGGTCGATGTGTTGATGTACGCAGGCCGGTGTGTGCAACATGTTTGCAACATGCCCATGTGGCCAAATGCGGGTTTCGCAACCTGTTTTGCCCCAGGAGTGGCTCTGGTCCACCATGTCGTCTGTTCAGAGCGAACTGGGGTAGTCGTGCAGCAAGCTGGTTTCGACATGTTCCCACCACTTGGCCAAGTCTCCTTGACCGAAGCTTCAGCAGCGGCCTGGGACGAGCAAATCGACAAAAAACGAGGTCTGGGATTCGAGAAATCAGGTTCACTTGCATGAGGACCCTTTTTATAGTTAGTCTCACTTTTTTCATCTGTTGTGGCAGAGCTCAGGTCGTTGGAATCTAAACGATTACTGCAGGAAAGACCTGCAATCGATTTCCTGCCACATCACAGACATCCAAAGAGGATCCGGTCCTCGGGTCCTTGGTTGAATTGGATTGGACATTCTCTCCCATTGCCCTCCAACCGGTCACCACCTGCGACTCATATATATATATAATTATATATACAAATAAGTCTGCAAAAGCCTCCATTTCGGAGACCTGCTGAAAGGTGCTGGTATGTATATCTATATTGAGGTCCTTTGCTGGTTCATTAAGCAGAAACAGGAGTTTGATTCTGCTCAAAGCACGCTGTCCTCTTGATTTGGACACATTTCTGGCACAACCTGGCTGGGCCTTGTGAGGATGACCTTGGTCATACTCAAACAGCCAGTCATCCAAAGTTGAACCATTGAGCCATCCGCAACCTGAAACAATCTGAAACTCTTCCCACCCTCTCCAGCAGCGCTCTTTCTCCACGCCCCAAAACACACCCATCACTTCCCCCCACCTCCCTCCGCGGTCCCACCGCCACCGCGGTCGTCCGCCATGGCCATGTCACACTCCCCCTCCGTGCGGGCGCTCCGCTCCCTCCGCGCCTTGGCCCGCAAGGCGTCGTCCAACTTCTTTTGGAGGCCTTGCGCCGTGGCGTCCTTGTCCGACCTGAGCGGACATCCGACTCGATGGGTGGCACCCGTCCAGACCGACTGGGCGATCTGAGAACGGCAGTCGCTCCGGCACTGAGAACGGTGGTGAGCCTGCGAACTTTTTCCCCACCTGTCAGGTGAGGGTTGTTAGATTTTATGTCAGCCCCATCTCCTCCTTCCGCCTCCTCCTCCTCCTCCTCCGCCGGACCTCAACCGCGAGCTGCAGCCAAGTGTTCCCTGCCGGACCTCAACCGCAGCGCACAACCACAACCACAATCACAAACACACAACCACAAACAACCACAATCACAAACACACAACCACAAACACAACACCACAAACTCACCCGTTGCGCCTCCAGGATCATTGTGGAAGTCAATACCCCTGGATACTTTCTCCAAACCCTCAGGGCGGACAACGCAAAAAGCTCCTCCAGGGCTCCCATCTCTTCGGACTCTGACGCGGGCCCCGATGTGCTGTTGGATTGAACTTCTTCGATTGCGCTTCTTCCCCAATCTGCGAGCTTTGCGCCTCAAGCGCCTCCTCACTTCTTCCCGAGGGTCCAACCCCGTGGTCTCCTTCTCTCGTTTTCTTTTCTTTTTTTCTTCTTCTTCTTCCATTCCTCCTCGCCCACCTCCCGTCTCTCTCGGCCCGGCTGCTCCCCGTGCCTTCCAGGAGAGACTCCGAGTGTATTGATGCTCCGCTTGCGCAGAAAGTGTATCATCGCAGGCACCTACTTCCCCTTTATGTCGCCGATCCGCGTCTCCGCGTCCAAGGTGGTGCATTCGGGCAACCACCCCGTCTGCGTTGCGGCGATCGGTAGGCGAGCAGTGGTGACCCAAAGGGCATGCGAACGAATCTTGGTGCGAAAGAATATGTTTGAGTGATGTTGCCTAAAATACGACAACCTGTAGCCCAAACTTGAGCCAAAATGGCATACAAGTTACAAGTTTGAGGCTCAGACTCTTATATGTTTAAAATCTCAACAAGTCCCTTCCCAACCAACCATTCATGTTGAAAGATAGACACAACACAAACACACAACCACAAACATATCCACAAGCACACAACCACAAAGACACATCCACAAACACAGAATCACAAAGACACAACCACAACCACAACTACAAACACACAATCACAACCACTACCAGCACCACAACCACAATCACAAACACACAATCACAACCACCACAAACACACAGCCACAATCACAACCGCAAACGCATCCACAAACACACAACCACAAACACACAGCCACAAACACACAGCCACAAACACACAACAACAAACACACAACAACAAACACACATCCACAAACACAATCACAAACACACAACCACACACAAACACAACCACAGCCACAATCACAAACACGCAATAACAAGCACACAACCACAAGCACAACCACAGCCACAACGACAAAGACGCAACCACAAGCACACAACCACAAACACACACCCACTACCACTACCACTACCACTGCCACTACCACTACCACAGCCACTGCCACTACCAGTACTACTAGGTCTCCTGATGAAAGCATGCGCTTCGGACAAAACAGTTAGACTTTGCGCTGAAGGACTTGTGCTACGGGCTGAAATACACAACGACGGTGATGTCCAACGTGGCTGTTTTGACATGTCATGGTGATCCCCATCACTCGAAGTGAAGTAATTTGTTGTGTGAGGCAAATCTCATGTTCTGGTGTCAGATTTGGAGACCGGCCCAAAGTGGAACATGTGCACGTTTGTGTTTGTTTTTTGATGAAAGTCCTCGGGTGTGCAACGAAATTCCTTTGATGAAAGCACGGAAAGCCTAATCCTTTGGGTCCCTTGAAATCACCGACTTGCTTTTTTCTCCCCCGGAAGAATGGTGCTTTTTCTGGCCAATCGAAAGGCATTGATACCAAGTTGTACAGTATTTTGGTTCATCATGCATGTGAGTGAGAGGATTGTTTAATCTCTTCTTTGCCGGGTTTGGAAGGGGGACCAAGAACATCCCGTGATCTCCAAAAAGACACCAAGGCAGGGCGACTTTTAAGGATACCATGTCTAAACATACATGTTCCTTATTGTTAACTCGATCAAGCAATCAACCGGCCAAATTGAAGGAGCTGGCTTGCTTCTCTTTTAAGTACCTTAAAGATAGGTTTTAAACGGCATCGACCAACCACACAGAAGTGCAGTGATAAAACAATACTCACTTGGTTCATGGGCCATTTGCGCAGTAACGGCCCAATACTTCAACTTCCTAATCCATTGCGAAGTACTGTCATTGCCATGAGCATTGTCACACGAACGTTTGCACCAGTGACACCGAAGAAAACAAAACAATTCTTTTGACGAACCGACGAACGCATTGGTCATGAGCACCTGGAACATGCCGCTGGGAAGACTCTTCTCCTTCACAAACGGTCCAATCAACGGTTCTCGGAGAAGGATTTGGCCGGCCGCGACGGAACCGAGATCCCTCCCAAATGATCCAGGTCATTGTTGAAGAAAAAATGACCTACAATGACCTATACATGAAAACCACCCAAAACCACCAGTCATGTGGGCCATATTTAGTTGCTGTGTCCACCGTGTTTTTGTATGTTTAAATGAGCTTCTGACGATGCAATTGACCTCATTCATGAAAACCAGTCCCAGTTGCAGTGCCTTTTGCTTCAGCTCCTCGACGCTTCGCTCGGCCTTCAGCTTGGCTTCCTCCGCCTTCCTGCGGAAGCACCGTGGAAAGGATTGGGAAGACAACACACTTGTTTGGAGAGGATGATTCCTCTCCCAAGGTGTTTGGCCATCCACTTCCATGTGTTGGAGCTTACAAGAAGAGGTAAGCCATATCAAGCAATCATACAGCTTCAGACCCTTCTTGTGGTGATCTTTGCCTACCGGCTATCACTTGTGAGGCTTGCTTGTTCTATCCGATTCTATCCAGACTTCAGCAAAGCCACCTTGCTCTTCTTTTTCTCCTTTTGCATTCTTCTTGTTGGGGCAGCCATGCAGAAACCTCATCTTTCAGGGATTGAGCCACCAAGAACATGACCTCTTACTCCTAAACCCGCGCATGCGTTTGTTTGGCGCTTTGCCAAACCCTCATTTCAGTGGCAAACCCGGTCAATCCACTAGTACAGTGAGACATTCTCAGACACATCACATGACCCTCCAACCTGTGCTCCAACCCTCCAAACACCCTCCGAATCCGCAGCAGTCTTGGCAGCATCTGTGGCAGCTTTTTGCTCTTCTTGGGCCTCCAATTCAGTGCGACCAATTCTATGAATGGATTTATATCGGAAACGGTCTGTAACAAGTGACCATTTTTCCAGTTTGTCTTTAGATTAATGGGCACTTATGGAAATCATTGGACATGTTGGAGTGAATTGATCCCAGAACTCATTGCCAAGACCTACATGCACCCCACGTGCAGCGAAAAGCCGTCTTGTGATGTCGGTCCGGGGATCAGTACTCATGACCATAGACTCGCTCGCTTTCGACGACTCACGTGTGATATGATATTATTGATACATAAAAATAGTATATGATAGACTTTATATATATAAAAATTGTATCAAATCATTTACCAATTGACAACATAGATCAACATAGCACAGGCTGACCTAACGGGAAGAAAAAGCACCTGCGAACAAAGAAGAAGGTTGTTGCAACCTGTTTGACCCTCTGAGCCAGTTTCGTGACATCGGCTCTTAAGCTCTCCATCTCCGCCTTCTCCAAGCTGCTCCTTGGAGATCCACCACGGGTGACCGGCTCCCGAACATGTCGCGACGAGGGTGGACGGGAGCCTCCTTGGGTGGGTGCGTTCCTTGGACGGGTCACTGAATTGGTAACTGGTCAAAAAGGACCGATGTAAAGAGCTTGGGAAGCAAGAGCTTGAAATTCATGTACTGAAAGAATCTGAAAGAGATATTTTAATATATGTGATGTCTGATTGAAGCTAGCAAATGTGCGAACTGATTCAAAGAAAACTGTTGAACGCCCTAACTGCCACTCGCATTGCCAAGCGTGTCTCTGTATCCGCAAAAGGACAGCGCAGCTCGGGAATTTCATCCATTGTTATGAACTGCACGTGTGTATTAGTGGGCTAAGGCAGCCAAGGTGATTGAGTTCAATATCATAGTACTCTAAAATAACTACTCAAGAAACATCGATCTTCTCCAGGCACTGAACAAGGACCTTTATGAACAGCGAACACACCGTAATAGGTCCAGCAGCTCGTCTGACCAGAAACGAGTTCGTCTCGTTTAGAGCTGTTCACCTCAACATCGAGGTAGCCAGGCATCTTTGCGGCTTTCACCTCCTCTTCCGCCTTCGTCTTGATCGTCTGCCTGGTGACATGAAGAACACCAGACCTCTGAACTCGCTTCGCTTTTTGAATCGGTGAAACTCCAAAGCCCAGTCGTTGGTACAAACACGACAAACGGGACTGGAAGATGGAAGAGATATGGCTATATGATAGCTTTTGATTGACCCCTGTTCAACCCATATATATATATATGGAATAGATTGGAATAGATGGAATATGGTTTACTGTAAAACGGAATACATGCCGCCCCATTGACCCCTTTTCAACCACCCCAATGTATGAATATGTCAGTCACACTGTCAGTGTGCCAATGCAGGTTACTCCTGATGAAACACCTTGCCGGACCCGCCATGTGTCGAAGGCGTGTTCGACACGCAAAAACTCTACGGTCTTTAGTTCGCTTTTCATGAAACCCATCTAAGTGACATCTGAACTTCAGCTTTTCGAGCTGTTGCCATCCTGAGTTGTGGGAAAACATCTGCAGCTCGGATGAAAGGGACTCACTGGCAGTTATTTCTTCTTCATCTTCTTCTATGGCTTGGAGGGTTCGTAGTGGAACCATGGATGTCATGCAATGCAATTCAACCTTTGCGGCGTGGATCACACCACAGAAAGCGAGACCCGTGGATGATTTCGTTTGGTGGGTCTTCTGTCACAGAAGATAAATCCCCATCTATCTACGGCTTTTTTCAGAACAAACAATACTAATTGGTTGTTCAGATCCCAGGACCTCATCGCACGGTGGAGTCTCCACCACCACCCTTCGGTTTTTCGGAACTTCCATGGTCTGTCCGAAGAACGGGAGGGTTTCACGTTTGCTCAAACGAGGTGTCTTCTGTTTCACGTTTGTCGTGCAACCAATTGCCGGAAGTGGATAGTCATCTTACATACCCCACCTCTCGTATACGCGCCACGGCGCGGGTTTCGGTGTGTTTTGAGGTCACGCCACGTCCAAATCGGAGGGCCGCACGCCCATGTCGGCTCCGATCTATTAAGGGACCTTGCAGTGATTCAGTGGGCATCCCCAAGATTCACCTCAAACCCAGGTTCTAGAGCAAGTAACTCCCAGACACGACCCATGGGACTGCCAACATATGCCGCCCCAGACAGACCCCCTGGCAACCACCCCTGGCCGTTTCTCGGCTGGCAGTCCCATGGATCGTGTCTGGGACTGGTTCCACCAGTCCAGTCCAAGACTCGCTTCCGCAGCCCGTTCTTTGGCTTGAATCGCTTCCTAGCGAGGATGGACCGCAAGGACCCCGGAGTCTTCCTTTTTTGTGGGAGCTTCCTTAATTCTTGTTTCTACGTTCGCTTCTTGTTACTACTAGTAAGGCACTTGTTACTAGTAGCGATGCACTTGTTACTAGTAGCCACCATTGCTTTCCAAGGAACATGCTACAGTTTCAGGTTCGTTGACACATTCATGACTTTGTGGAGAAAACTGTTTCTTCCTCTCGCACCGAGTCTTGCGCACCAAAGGGAGTCTTGACTGGCGTGTGGTCAGCTTGCAGTTCTACACCCTACACACGTCAAACATCCCAAGAAAATCTGTTTCAACCAGCAACTTCAAAGCCAACACAAAGAGCACAGCGACCACCCCGAATGTCCAGCCCCGCAGCCCCACAACTGATCCTTGTCGTTCAGCTCTACGGGAAGTTCTTGGGGAGCGATGCAGCGGTTCTTGGCTTGTACTCAGTACTACCCAACCAGTCCAAAAGGACAAAAAGGGGAGATCCACCAGGTTTCAACATCCCAGACGCGACCCTGGAACCTCCTAAGTAGGGGCCGTTCCCTCATATGGAGGGGTCCGGACCCTCAAATCCCTAGGGTTTTGAGGGACCAAGAGCTGTATGGAGCGTCTGGGATACACACAAAAGTCTAGAATGCTGCTAGAGTGCGTGCCTGGGCAGATTGTCCACACCGACCAAATCCGACCCGCACCTCCTTGGCCATCCGGGCTTCAGTCCGCGCGGTGCCCAGCTGTTCCTGGAAACCCCGCTCCGCAGGTGAGAAAACACGCCGTGTTCGAAGGAAAACAGCTTTTCTTCTCGAAGGAAAAACAGCTACTTGCGTGCGGCTGCATGCTTCTCGAAATCAGGGCAACTGGGTTCGGCCTTGACTGTGCGGGTAGATGGGTTCGGAATCTCAAAAAGCCTTAGAAGTTGTGGAGGGCCCAGATTGTTTCAGATCAGTTCAGTCGTCTTACGACTCGATTCACGACCATGATCACGTCGACTTTGTTCACGTCTCACATGGAAAAAGCAACAAGCATCGTATTCCGAACCACTTCTCGCCAGCCGTGTGGCTTTACCAACCAAAAACGATTCCAACATTTGACCATGTTTTACGACCCCTGAAGCCGTTGGCCTCCAAAAGTCCTTTCTCCACCTTCAAGGCCTTCAGAAGCGTCTCAGCACGTTCCTGGACCCACAAGCAAACACATGTCATTTTGCTGCTTCAGACCAAGGAACGGCAAAGCAGTTGCATTCAAGGAGGATTAAAGGCTTGCCCAAAAACAAAGACACCATGGATTGTAAATATGCACCAGTAACAAACCAAACATCACCATCACCACTTTATATCATCACTTTATTGATGGGATCACTACCCCAACGGACACGTGCATGACCTCACTGAAAAAGAACGTGAAGGCACTTGCCCAGCACCTCCCATGTTCCCCAACTCCAAGCTGTTTCATGTTGATCTTTACACCAAACAAGATGCATCCGGAAGCTGGACCGGTCGCTGGACCGGTCGCCGCCTTGGCTTTGAGCACTTCTTGCAGTTCCAATTCCTGCGGAGCCAATCGAAACAGTGTGCATCAGTGTTTTCCTCATCCGAAAGAAAACAGGGAGGACTCTGGAGGACATCTCGCCGAGTCCGGACGTTGCAAACAAACATCGCCGGATGGGTCAAACCGCAGACATGTTCCACGTCGAGACCAGTCGTCCGCTGTGAAGCCGCAGGTCGGGGGAGGGATGGAGCAGTGTCCGGAAATAGCTGGGTGTTGCCATGGCTGGCATGGTGCATGGCTCACTTGGTGCCCTGTCTGGACCGGTCGCACATCTGCCGCGTCGAGCACCGCGTCTGCTTCGCCGTCACACCGGGTCGCACACCCGGTGCCCCGGTCGGGGCCAGTCCTTCTGGCGAGCTGGATCGGCTTCACCTTTCAAGCGCTTCACCAAGTCTCCCAGCCTCACGCGCCCAACGGGACGGATCGAGACGAAGGGCGGCGTTCGGCCCTTTCAGCTAGGCCGTTGCGCCATCGCTAGCAGGTTGGAGGGTTGGAGGCCATCGCTAGAAACAAAGAGCAAGGAAAAGGAAGAAAGGTCTTAGTTTGCTATTAGGTTGGAGGCCATCGTTTAAAGCCCTTGGTGGGTTCCGTCCGATGTTTTTGTCCCCTCAATGATGGTGCATCTCTTATCGCCAATCCGCCGCCAAGGGACTTCTCCTGAGCACTTTTCGCCTGGACACGCGTGGTTGAAAGGAGGTAACCAAAAAAGTAAACAACATATCTAAAACATATACAAACACATCAATCTGGGCAGTGCAGGGCAGTTCTGCAATTATAGGCTATCAGGATCTATAAGGCATAAAGACTGGAATCCAAAGGGGCTTGGAATCCCCTGACGACTTGAACTCCTGATTTGGGGCACCTTTGGTTTTTCATTTTTCACACGGGACACTTCACATCCAAAACGACTCCACAAACTGGAACAAAGAAACAGTCAGTTGTTGTGAAAGGAATCGAATCCAGGCCTGAAAAAGGGAATCCAGGCGGCTTCCTTGAGGGTCAGGAGCTCGGTGTACTGAGCCCGGAGGTCCCAGGATTGCCCAGAAGAAATTGGTTGGAAGTCCGTGCACGCCGTGCACGAACATGGTTTTCCCCCATATCCACAAGCAAAAGCGAAGCCAAAGTGCCAAGTTGGAGCACCCAATGGTTTGGCGCTTCAATTCCATCCATCGATGTTTCCACAAACCGCGCGTGCGGCGCCAGAACCGGTTGGAAGTGAAAGAATACAAGCGAATCAGTGCTTGCTTCTATCCGACTGAGTCTCCACCCAAGTATAGTCACCCTTGTCATTGTGGCGAGCTCCCAGAACACCAAGAGCAAGTTGCAGAAACGATGCGGCGATGACAGTTCCTCCCTTCCTCCCTTAAACCAAGCATATGTGCTAATCACAGCAAACAAAACAGCCAATTTGGGCAGACATGTTGCACAGCTTAAGATCTAGCTATATCACTAGCATTCACTAGCTATATCATGTAGAACCCCACCTGAGAGTCGGACTCTTCGTTACACCTGGTCCTTTTCATGTTTCCTTCATTTTTCCTTCTGGGTTTGGCATATTAAAAAACAGAACGAGTGCTCCTGGGAGATGTTTTTCATGCACAAAATGATGCAAAAACACTGTGTTTTACAGTGATTTCTTGCAAAAACCTCTCCAAAATTGAGGTTTTGAACTATTTTTAGATTTTTTTGTGCGATCCAAGCCTATCACAGTTTAGAGGGAATACCAAAACACCAATAAACCAAAAAACAAATAGACAATGTTTAAGACACACTGGGGACACTATTGGTTTTTGGATGTTGGCTGCATTTTGTGTCAAACATTGTTTTTTTTTGTGTTTTTGTTTTTTGTTTTGTATTTTTTGTATTTTGGAAAACTTTGTCGCACAGCAGGCATTGGTGATAAGTCTCGTTTTGGCTGGCTGGTCTGCCCAAAAGCCACCAAAAACAACAATAATAACAAAATAGACAAAAAAATTCAGAGGGTACCTTTCCATGGGCCTGAGCTTGTATTTTTTAGTTTCTTTGGTTTTGGCTGGTTTGCCAAAAAGTGCACAAAATTTATTTCTAATCTATTTCTAATTATTTCTAATTAACCCCTAGTTCAAAGCAAATTTATTTCTATGAATTTTGACTTAAAATACCATTTAATTAACTTCTGAGTCACTTGTTATTCAAATTGAATTTCACTATCTCTATTTACATGCAAGTTTGAGTCTAAGTGAACTTTAAATTCAATCTAACTTGAGTATGTAATATACTTCTACTTTAATTCTAAGTTGAGCCCAATTGAATTCTAAATTAAGCCTATGTATTTTAAAGTTCATTGTAGTCAACTTCTAATTCAATTGTTCTTCTAATTTAGTTCTATTATAGTTCAAATTATGTTTGATTACTTTGGGTTCTAATAGTTTGAGGTTGACTGTGAATTTGCAACATGCTTCTATTTTAGTTCTAAGTTGAACATAATTGAATTCTATATAATTGAATTCAAATTGAGTCTGCAATTTTAATCTAATTGAGTTTAGTTTTAATCTAATTCTAAGCCAATATTGTTCTACTAACCAAGCTCTTGGTTAAACGACCCTAATTCAATTCTACCTTAGGTCTAAGTCAAGTTCAATTTAAATAGTTGATTTTGATTTAATACATTAAATCAAAATCCACTGTTTGAAATTTAGTTCTATTTCATTCTGTTTTAGGTTAAATTGTAATTTTGTTTATTCCAATTTATTTGAAAGTGATTTCTAATGTTAATGTCTTTATACAGTTCAGATTAATTTTGCACTATTGTCATTGCAATTTAATTTTGATTTCTATATGTCCAAATTGACTCCAATTCAATGCAAATGGACTTCTAATAATTGAGTTTTGATTTCATTCTAGAGAATGGGTGTTGCTGGGGGTCTGAACTTATTTCATTTAAGAAAGCAACTGCTTCCATGTTAGAAACGCTTCATAAAAATATCTTATGCTCAAAGCAATACCAATTCCCTAGAAGTAAATGATATACAGTAATCTCATAAAATATCCTCATTCTCTGTGTGCCAATCGCTGTCTCCTCCAACGGGCCCTTTCATTGACATATATGTTTATCTTGATATATATACATATATTATATTTGATAACTATATCATCAAACTCAAACGGATAATGTCATCATTGGTATTACACATTGACAGGCAAAGGGAGATGGGCAGTTTGTGAAATTTTGCATGGTATTTCCGTGTTTTCTAATGATTTTGGGCCAAAAACCGGATCTGCAGGGAGCCCTCGTGATCTTCTCGGATCTGGCCACGCTCTGTCGCCTTCCCTCGCCTGGCCCAGCTTGGTCTCCACGGTGGGCGGAAGTGGCTCGGTGGGCGCACAGCGGACGGCCTGAGACCACAGCTGATGGAGTGGATCGATTGGGGTCTGGGTCTGTATGGAGGTTTTGGAGTGGTTTTTGGGATGGTTCTATGGTGTTTTGTTTGATTTTGGGTGGGTTTCGATGGTTGGCCGGCGCCTGTTGGGTTTTTGCATGTCCAAGCCTTGCTCTTGGCCTGTTCACTTGCAAGGCATCTCTTGGTTCGTGCCTCCAAGGCTGGTCGTGTCTCCAAGTGTTCGGTGGACCTCCAAGAAACGGAAGTCGCCATTGGTCACTTCCAAGAACCGCCCAACCACTCGGGCCCTTCAAATTCTTTCCAGTTGGAACGCCACATGGGGGGAAGACTCCAGCGCTGGGGGTCCCGGACCTCCGCAGCAGCCTTTCCGGCCTGGAAGAGTCGCTGTGGGGCAGACGTAGCTGAGACCGGGAGTCCAAGGTCCAATGTTGAGACTTCGAATGATTGGAATACCGATGTCAGAACAAGTGCCAGATGTCTGACCCAAATATATATATATATATAGACTGTATATGTAGAATATATGCACTCACAAAATAAGTGAATTAAAAACACACACACATACATACATACCTACCTACCTACATACATACATACATATATAAATAATAAAAAAAATATATATATGTATTATATATAAATACAGAACTGGATGGCACCAGCTCTTTGTGGAAAAGAACACGTGGCGTGGCCTTTCCAAGGGGCCAATTCGGGGGCCATGCCACGTGGTCCACAGACTTTTTCACTCAGTACCCAGCCTCGGGGCGCCTCGGGGGGAGTTGAACACCTCACCATCTTTTGCAACTCACGAACAAAAACTCATAAGTAATTGATTAATCAATTGGTTTCCAAACAGCCCCAAATACAAAATATCTGACAGTCACCACCCAGAGTTGTTGAGGGATGTGCTCTGAGATGTCTAACTTCTTCAGACTTCAAATCCAGGCAGCCAGTTCCAGCGCATCGAAAGCTGGAATGCATCTTCGGTTACTCAAACACTTTTTCCAAGGTCTGGGCTGATTTGAATCGGGTTAATCTTCAATCCGCTAATCCGCCCCACTGGCAGTGTTTCATGTTATTTTTCTATATTTTGAAGTAGGTGATATCGAAAAAGTTGTACATCCGTACATTGGTGGATCTCAAATGGGCTGCTAGACTACATAACTCTTCAGAACCCAAATTCCAACTAGTCGGGACTGCGACCAATTTTTGGAATCATTCTGCAATTTCCATGCAAGACTGTTATAAACTATTGTAGGGATTGGCCCTCCTTGAGCCACCCCACAACAAACCCGCTGCATGGGGATGCCTCATTCTAGGTTGATCGAACATTTCCGGGGTCGACTACTAGTTAGCAACCCCAAAAAATTCTAAAAATAGACCGTGCTGCGTTCACTCTTGTGATTAGTTTTCTGATACATCTTCGTCTAAAGGCACGGCCTATGTTTGTTCCGCTTTGTCCGCTGTCCGCTTCCGCCTCAGCGGCTGCCAGCTCTGCTTGACGCTTGGCGCTGACCCCGCAGTGCTCGGCGGCCTGGACAAAGGATATTTTTCCTTCGGGCTCTTCTCCAATTGGTTTTCAAATCGTTTTCTTTGTATCCACAGTTTTCTTATATTTTTGTAGCTGTAATTTGTTATGTTTTTCTTCGGCGTCTATGTGTAGAGTCTCTGATAATTCAATCGGTTCATCGTGGACTCTCTCCTCTTTCCAAGACTCCTCACTCCTCTGTATGTAGAGCCTCTGATATTGTCGGTGGGACGTTTCTGCAACCTGCAAATCTTTCTCATCATCTTAGAGATCAGCTCTTTTGGCACTTGTTTGCGGTGTCAGGAACAAAGCGAGCTAAAGCATCACTACTATGTTCAGCAATAGCAGCCGCCGCGCAATTGTGCAAGGAGGAACAGGCCCCGAAGGGGCACTCAACCTTCTTACGCACAGGGATAGTGCCTATGGAGAGCACTCTGCATAGCCCAGTAAAGGTGCACTACAACAAACTGCAGTGGTATTTGGGTAACCATTTTTCTCCACCAAAAGAACCGTTTAAACACCAACCTTTTTTTACAACCCTGGAACATATTTTTCAAACCCAGACCCTTCTTTGTTAACCCTGTAACATGATTTTTCAGCCCTGGAACCTTGTTTTTCAACCCTGTCACGTGCTTTTTTACAACCCTCTAGCATTTTGTTGTAACCATGTAATTCACACCGCTTCGCGGTTGAAGCCGCCCGCGCGGATACTTGTGCTCTCTGAGCCGGGAAAGACAGTTGCAGGGCTCAAAGCGTCAGAGGAAGTGTACCGTCAGGAAGAACATCTGTCTACCTAGATACTATCTACCTGTGTATCTATCTATCCTTCTATCTATCTGTCTATCTAATCTAATCTAATCTAGCCTAACCTAACCTAACCTAACCCAACCTAACCCAACCAATCCAATCTAACCTAATCTAGCCTAACCTAACCTAACCTAATCTATCTATCTATCTATCTCTAAAGCAGGCACACGGGTGCAGAAATCAAAGAGTACATTTTCCAATTGGAATTTGGCCGGGTGCGAGCGTGGCTAATTCTTCTAATGCGCAAACAGTTGGTGCGTCAGATGATGAACGGAGCTTTGAAGAGCCTGATGTGGAAGGGGGAGCTGCATTTCAAGAATGCTTTTGCGAAAGCTTGCCTCAACAGGATGATCGGGCGCTCATCCCGAAAGAACTGGTTGCAAGAAGTTTTTGCAGGGAAGAGTACTGTGGAACTTTGCGAGCAACGAGCGCAGTGTGGCTCGATCTATATGGATGGCGCACCAAAAACGCAACTACGGGCAGGCCCGCGTAAGTTCTTGCGAGGAACTGGCAGAAACCACATTTCACTGCGCTGCGCACCAAACATTGTATCATGGGGAGACCCTGCCCGCACAAGAGAACATGGGGCTTGTCAGGCTAGCAGATGTCACGCGCTTGAAAAAGCCAGTGGAATTTATGACGCGCTGGGGCGCCATTGGCTGGCCGCGTGTAAGACTCCCCAAGAAAAAACGCCAGCGCGAACTTGTTCTCTCCGCTTCCAGAAACGAATGACAATGAGCCTGAGAAGGAGAGGGGAAGCGCAAGATGCAAATGCAACATAGGAAGCATGAATTTAGTTTCGTCTATGGAGTTGCTGCAATTATGGCGAGCATCTTAGCACATGAAGGAACTGAGCAGTGTGCGCAGAATTGCGCTGAGTCCTTGTTGCGGCAACCCCAGGTGGCGCGCGCAAAAGGCCATGCAGATTCTGTGACCATGCAAGCTTGGAAAAGTTTGACCGTGCAAGCTTGGACAAGTTGCTGTCGAGCTTTGGCTTCTGTCTTGGGGAATCCGACGGTGCAAATGGCTTTGCGCAACGCTTGCTGGATGACTTGCTGTATGTAGAAGGCAAGATGTGACGACGCGTGGGTCGAACAAACGGTAAACCGAGGAAAAGGTAGTTAGGCGTGGAAAAGCTACATGGCGACAATGCGTTCTAGTTTTCATCCATCATTGTGATGCGCAGTGGGAGACCAAGCAAAATTCGCCCGCACCAAAGGTGCTGAGGCATTATCAGAGATTGCGTAAACCGCTAGAATTGCTAGATGGCTCAATAAGCTTTAGCTCGGGGGGGGCTTTTTTTGCTCTAGAATGCTGTGCTGTGTTTTAAATTTTTTTCTAAACGGACGAAAAATCAAGAAAGCCATCGGTCATGTCGGTTATACTGCCCGAGTGAGACCGCATTATTGACATCCTGTGTGCTTGCTTGTGGAGGCCGACCGGACCATCGGGCGGCGCCAGATGTGCCAGATGTCCATCGGGTTGCCAGCTTCTGCTTGCACCACAACTGCTGCTAAACTGTCTTGGAAAGAGGTGAAGCTAGGTGTCAGGACCCAAAGAGGCCCCCCGTCTACTGTATGTGAAAATGTTGCTCGGAGGACAGCTCTGCGAAAATGCTTATCCAAATGATGTGGGACAATCGGACCCGCCACTGCTTTGCGGTGATCTCGCAGAAATACAAGATCCACGGAACATGAGAGGAGTGGGCGGCTGGTGGCAAATGTTTCAGAAGAAGGCCTTGAAGTCCACCGGGGCGTTGGGAAGTAGCACCTCGTGACATGTGCCCAGTCGAATACGCGAGTGGCATTTGGAGCAACAGCACGGGCAGCTTCAATCCCTTTACGCGTATGCATGGCACCGTGGTACATTTTGTGGCTCCAAGTTGTGACTCGTGGCCCAAAGTCTGAGCAGTTCTGAAAATGGTGCGTGCAAGGTGTGCATAGGCCTGCTCACTTTCCCTGTCTGCCAATGCAAGATTCTAAACCCAGCGGCAGAAAGGAACTGGAGCAGCTTCTCGAGTCCACACATACTGACCAATTCTTGACGTTGGTGTGACGTTCACAACGGCCAGCAACACATATGACTCAAACACCAAGCGGTAAGTGCCATCTGCGGATAACTTCAGATTCTACGGTTTAGGGAGCAGACTCAAAGCGCAGACGAAATCAGCAGCGGCAAACATACATGGTCCTGCGACAAGCTCATATCAACCACACGCAGGCTTACATCATTTGAGCGTAGTGCCACCGAATCCGGTAGGAGCGGATTCGGTGGCTGCCAGGTGGCAAAGACGAGTTGCAAAAGTCATGGCAAAAATCGAAATCACTGCTCCTGCACTTCCCTGTGCAAGGTGGCGCTGCTTATTGATTTGATTCTCAACTTTGCACGAAGCCGCGCGGCAAAGCCTGCAATCTTGGAAACAGCATGCGCTGCTTGGGACACAGTACACAGCAGATGTGGTCTTGCGCGACCGACCACACCTGATCGCAGCTTGGCGCTGCTTCGACATATAGAGGCGCTGCTGTTGTCGTTTTCTGTGCAAAGCCTCTAACTTACACTCCAAAGCGTCAACCAATTTGTTTCCATTGTTTTCTACTACACATAACACCCTATGTGCTTTGAATTGACAAAGCGCATACACTCCCCCGAACAAACAAATTACCTACTAGAGTTGCTAGTTACTACGTAGAGTCATACGATTCAATGATTTTCCCAAACCAGGTCTATTTGGCAATCGGTCCTCTTGCACACATCGCAAATACCATACTAGGGGGAGGCTCTGCTCAGGCGCGGCCTGCGCAAACTTGGGGGCGCTTCTTAAATTTCACGAGTCGCCAAACCTTGGCCAAGCGATTGGACCGTATGGCCGCGCGCGCTGTGCTCCGGTGGCGCGTGGCCTTTGGAGCTTCTTGGAAGAGTCGTAGCGACGATTTTCGCAGAACACGTGCTCTGTGTCGTACACGGTCCAGCCACGCTCACCGAGTGCAGCTTGGACCAACTCAGGTGGCAACTGTGGGGACAGGTCGAGGGGGGCCGTTGATTCATCCGCCCCACAGCAACGCTTGAGGGCGGATTTGGCCCGCGCGCCGACGTGGGTCAAAGCGGGAAAGTGGTGTAGCTGCGAATCGCCCCAACGGGCTGTCATGTTCAGTCTCCATCTTGAAATAGGGGGCGTCACATGACGGGTTGCAACTCATGGAGGAAGTCGGGGGAGCCAAGAAAACATCCACTGCCTGTTGATGGGTCTAGAAACAACCCCGATATGGAACTCCTTGGTATGTATGATCCTTGGTGTTGAGAGCTGGCAAAGAAACACCTCTCAACCAAGCCCGACAGTGGCTACAGTATCAACTCTGAGGGAGATACCACAGTGTACTTCCCAATTACTTTACTTCGAGTGATCCCCACCATGACATTTCAATACAGCCACGTTGACATCACCCTCGTTGTGTATTTCAGCCCATAGCACAAGTCCTTCAGCGCCAAGTCTGACTGTTTTGTCCGAAGCGAATGCTTTCATCAGGAGACCTGTGCACAACTATAATAATACAACCCAGATCTTTTCAGTAGTAGTAGTAGTAGTAGTGGTAGTAGTAGTAGTAGTAGTGGTAGTAGTAGTAGTAGTAGTACTGGGCGGCCCAGAACTGGGAAACTTCCGGGGCCCGAGCTAGTAGTAGTAGTAGTAGTAGTAGTAGTAGTGGTAGTGGTAGTGGTAGTGGTAGTGGTAGTGGTAGTAGTAGTGGTAGTGGTATGGTAGTGGTAGTGGTAGTGGAAGTGGTGTGGTAGTGGGAGTGGTAGTCGTAGTGGTAGTCGTAGTCGTAGTCGTCGTAGTAGTAGTAGTAGAAGTAGAAGTAGTAGTAGTAGTAGTAATAATAGTATAGTAATAGTAGTGGTAGTAGTAGTAGGTAGTAGGTAGTGAGTAGTAGGTAGTATAGGTATCCTAGACACTCCAACCTTGTCCAAGGGACATCGTTTCAACATAAGACAACGCCACTTGCCAATTGTAGAAAACCATGTCTCTTGTATGTCTTCTCTTGGGTGCATGTGCCATGTTCAGTGCAAGTTCTGACGTGATGACTGCTGCAAACCGAGAATGGTATGCGTTGGTCTCACACCTGCCCTTCCAAGACAAAATGCTGCCAGGTGCAGTCGCTGCCAAGCAAAAGAACAACTGGTCTCACGCAGATATAATTTTGGCC